GAGGGATCCAGGACCCCAACCAGGAACATCTTCCCGTCAAACGGACCAAGGTCCTGAGCTCCCCAGCATGGAGCATGGCACCCCCAAGTCCCCAGTGCCCAAACTGGAGGCCTGGGAGGCTTCCCTGACCACCCCCCCCATTCTGCCTCCCCAACTGGATCCATCAAGAAGCCTGTTCTTCTACTTCTCATTAAGCTTCTCCAGCTATCTAGTCCACCCCCTTCTCCCCATCCCCCGTTCGAGGATTGTTCTAGAATGCCAACCAGACCATGTACATCCCTCCTCTGTTTGGAAAACTTCGATGGCTCTGGTCCTTAGGAGGAAGTTCCTCTCCGGACCATGGCCCCCACCATCCCCTCACGCCCAGATTAAACTTCCTTTCCCGGGGGTGCCATGCTCTCCATCTCTTGCACCCAGCCCGGGCCATAGGCTCACCCCGTTGTCTGGGGCTCCCTTTCCCTCCTTTAGCCTGAACGTTGTCCTTCCTATTCCAACCCCGTGTGCGCTTTTTTCAGAAAGCTGTCGCGGACCTGCAGGCTGGGCCAGGTGCCTCCCCAGGGTCCCTCCTGTGCCTCCTCCCTCACAGCCCTGCTCACCCGTGTCACTACTGCCTAATTAGGGCTCCTTCTGGTGCTTCTCAGGGCCCCCCTGCTTTTACCACCCCCCTCCCAGACCTCTCTCTGTGCCCCCACGGAGCAGATTTCGGCGGGCGAGGCGGGCGGGCGAAGAGGCGTTTCTCACCGTGGGGCCCCCGAGCAGGGGTTAGGACTTTTTGGTTTTTACCAGCCCCTTCTGGACCAGACAGCGGTAGAACTCCTGGATGTACGTGTACACGCACTTCCAGTCAGGCTCTCGAAGCCGCACCATGTCCTCTGTGTCCAGGAGCTGCGGGCAGTCCGCATGGGTCCTGGGGAGGGGAGGGGGCCGGGAAGGGGCAGGGAGACGGGGCCCAGCGGGGGAAGAGGGGGGAGAGGCAGAGAAGAGAGAGGGGAGTAGAACAGAGAGACACACACATACACAGAGACATGAGTTCAGTTACATTCTCAGTGCCGCAGTCTGCCAGCCCCCCGCATGCCCCCACCCCATCGTGGACGTGCCGCTCACTACCCGTCACTAATGGTGTGCGATGCAGACAGGGGTGGGGGGCCAGACCAGTCACAGGTGCAGAGAACTATTGGGGCAAGCGGGGACGCGGGGTGGGGGGGCGATGACGTGGGCGCCCCAGGTTGGAGAGGAGGGCTGTGCCCCAGGGAGGGGGGGTGAGGGAGGCGTGAGAGGAGAACCAGAAAGAGAAAGGCAGAGAAGAAAGACAGATGGAAGAGGGTGCTGAGGGTGAGGTGAGCAGACGGGGCAACGATTCCAAAGTGGAGGGCTTGCTGATCTCCTATATAAGCCTCTGGCAACACCTATATAGGCTGGGCGGGCACGGTGCCCGGGCCAGGAGCCCCCTTTTGGAATCTCCAGCCGGGATCCCGTGGGAGCAGGAAGCTCTGGTGATAGTGGGAGGAGAGGAGGACAGAGAAAGGGAGAAGGGGGCAGAGGCAGGATGGAGGGGCTATGGACAGGGCCACCTGGTGGGCCTTGGCCGGGCTGGTAGGCGGGCCTGTGGCTCCTTCGTTCCGGCGGGGACCTGGCACACTCGGCATCGGGTGGGCGGGATGGAGAAGGACAGGGGCTTCTTGGGGAACCGGGTCAGCCGTGCGGGCGGGAGGCTAGACATTCTTGCCGCGCAGGCGCAGCTCGTGGCGCCGCAGGTGGTTGTAGAGCGACTGGACGTAGGTGAAGACGCACTTGGGGTCGGGCTTCTTGCCCATGATCATCATGTCTTCCACCTCCACCAGGGGCACGCAGTCTACCAGCATCCTGCGGGAGGGGCACAGGGCGGCGGTCAGCGCCGGCGGGGGCTCTAGGGGTGAAGCCCCTACTGTGAGGTCTTCTCACTGCCAAAGCCTGCTGGTCTTCCACTCTCCGTGTGGGTTGAAGGGAGAAGGTGGAGGGATGGGGGAGCCTTCCAAGAAGGCAGGGAGCCCCAAGCTCCACTCATCCAAGCCTGGAGGCACTTTTGCGGGAAGCGAGGCCAGGCTGGTGGAGGGGGAGGTGTGGGGTACAGGTCTCTACCCCCATCCCTGGGGAGGTCCTGACCACAGACCCCTCCCACTCCTCTCTGGAGGGCCACCCTCTGCTCACCCTGGTGGCACACGCCAGGGCCATTGCACCCTGGGGGCCTTCCCCTGGCAAATCTTTCCCTGCAGCCAGGCCTGCCCCAGTGACACTCCGAGCCCTGGCATCTGCCAGTTCTCTGGCCTGGTACCTCCTGCAGGGCTGAAGGCACACCACCCCTCCAAGCCCTGTCCTTGCCCCAGGGGACAACCCTGCTGTGAGAGATGGCCAGGGAGGAATGTGGGTTGGAGGGGGAGGGGCAGTTCTTTAACCCTTATTACCCCCCTTTGGTAGAGCAAAGGAGGCAGATGAGGGTTCCAATCAATACAGACAAGACCATCTACATCATGCTCAGGGGGCAGGACCACCCTCTGTCCATCTTCCAGAGTGTTGGCGCTCTTTACTGACAGGGAGACCGAATCACAGAGTCGTTTGTTTTAAGCCCCATTACGTGCAGGGCTAGGCCTGATGGGGCCCAGGCCCCCAGCCCAGGGTGTTGGCACCTGCCTGGAGCTCCCTCTTCCCTACAGCAGGAGCCCTCGCCCTACTCTGGGGTGAGTTGGCTGCAGCTACTAAGCAACTGACAGCCTCAAACCTCTAAGGCTGTAGTTTGCGCCCTGGTTCCTTCCCCCTTCCCTCCTCTCCCAGAGCAAGTCCCGCCTCTGCCTTTCTCCCTCCCGTCTGCCACGCCTGGCGTACAGTAAGCACTCAGTCAGGGTGGTTGCGTGAGTTTCCCTGGGCCGGGAAGGCATACGGGCAGGAAGTGCCCCTGTTCCCAAGACACCACAGGGCCAAGGTCCTGAGCTCCCCAGCATGGAGCATGGCACCCCCAAGTCCCCAGTGCCTAAAACTGGAGTCCTGGGCGGTTTCCCTGACCACCCCCCTTCTGCCTCCCCAACTGGATCCATCAAGAAGCCTGTCCTTCTACTTCTCATTAAACTTCTCCAGCTATCTAGTCCACCCCCTTCTCCCCATCCCCCGTTCAAGGATTGTTCTAGAATGCCAACCAGACCATGTACATTCCTCCTTGTCCTTCTACTTCTCATTAAACTTCTCCAGCTATCTAATTCACCCCCTTGCTCTCCATCCCCCGTTCGAGGATTGTTCTAGAATGCTAACCAGACCATGTACATCCCTCCTGTTTGGAAAACTTTGATGACTCTGGTCCTTAGGAGGAAGTTCCTCTCCCGACCATGGCCCCCACCATCCCCTCATGCCCAGATTAAACTTCCTTTCCCAGGGGTGCCATACACCTCCTTTCTTGTGTCTTCAAGGTCAAACCTGGGACCATGGCAGGGCTGAGGCCTGCGCCCAGCTCACTGCACTCCCTCCGAGAAGCAGCCTGGGAGGAAGGCGACCTTTGCTTCCGGCCAGGCTCTACTCCTGACCAGCTGTGGATGCTAGACAAAGCCCTGCCCTGTTCTGTGACTCAGTTTCCCCATCTTTATAGCAACAGAACAGTCCTTCTCAACCTCATTTGAAACCTTGGAAGCACTTAGGATGAGTGAGAAGTTCTGACTCTGTGGGTGATGTGCTGTGTGCCCCTGGGGTCAGCCTGCCCCAGAGTGGGCTTGTTTTCCCAGCTGTGGCTATCTCCCCAGGGATCCCAGCCTCCCCCCGCCCCGCCCCCCCATGTGGAACTCCTTCCCATCCCTGGTGTCTTCCCTGGAGACCTTATAAAGCCATTGTTGACACTGGGACTCACGGCTCAGGGCTCCAGCTGCCCTAGTGACAGGCCAAACACCAGGCAATTTGAGCAACAACACAGCTGAGTCACACTTTCCAGCTGGATCCTGGCCGGGTTTGGCCCCTCTCCTTCCAGGCCAGCCTGCTGGGCAGCAGCTCCCAAGCCCATATATGACCTGGGGACAGCACCAAGCTCATCCTCTCCTCACCTGCGCAGCTTCTCTGAGTCTGTGTGCACGTGTGGGCTGCCCGCCCCTCCCCCCCGCAATGGCTCCAGGCCCCGAAGGGCATCTGAGTGCACCTCTAGCTCTGTCCCTGACTCAATCCCCCTGCCCCCTCTGGGTCTCTGTCTTTTCTTTTCTTTACAAAATGGGTAGGAAAAGTGATGGGGCAAGTAAAGGGCCACTAAGGAGGGGGGCGGAGGGGTCAGGAGCTCCAGTTTCTGGCCCAGCTCTGGCCTAAGCCCCCTGGGACTCTCTGAGCCCGCCCCTCTCCCCCTTGGAGCTGGTCTGGAATGGCCAGTCCGCTCAGGATCGGAATTCTCTACTGTGGCCCTGCGCTGAGGTGACCAGAGAGGAAATGCCGCAGCTGGCGGAGGGATCCAGGACCCCAACCAGGAACATCTTCCCGTCAAACGGACCAAGGTCCTGAGCTCCCCAGCATGGAGCATGGCACCCCCAAGTCCCCAGTGCCCAAACTGGAGGCCTGGGAGGCTTCCCTGACCACCCCCCCCATTCTGCCTCCCCAACTGGATCCATCAAGAAGCCTGTTCTTCTACTTCTCATTAAGCTTCTCCAGCTATCTAGTCCACCCCCTTCTCCCCATCCCCCGTTCGAGGATTGTTCTAGAATGCCAACCAGACCATGTACATCCCTCCTCTGTTTGGAAAACTTCGATGGCTCTGGTCCTTAGGAGGAAGTTCCTCTCCGGACCATGGCCCCCACCATCCCCTCACGCCCAGATTAAACTTCCTTTCCCGGGGGTGCCATGCTCTCCATCTCTTGCACCCAGCCCGGGCCATAGGCTCACCCCGTTGTCTGGGGCTCCCTTTCCCTCCTTTAGCCTGAACGTTGTCCTTCCTATTCCAACCCCGTGTGCGCTTTTTTCAGAAAGCTGTCGCGGACCTGCAGGCTGGGCGGGGGGCCTCGGAGCAACTAGGCCTGGCCCAGAGGCCCAGCCCCGGACACCCAGCCAACACCAGCAGGGCTGAGGCCCACACTTACTCGGCGGAGGAGAAGGCCACCTCAAAGTTCTGGCGCCGGTTCTGCGGGCTGAGCTGCCCGTAATCAAAGGCCTCGGGGAAGAAGTTGTGCACCAGCGCACAGAAGGCCATGCCGTCGCTCCAACTCGAGGAGAAGTTCTGGATGTCCACGTGCTACGGGGTGGTGGGAGGAGCGGTCAAACCCCTTCTCCCCCACAGGCCTTCTACCCCCAGGATCTTGGCATTTAGAGACCAGAGAGGCCCTGCATCTTGTCCAAGGCTGCACAGCAGGTGAGCAGTGGGAACATGAGCCTCCTCCCACTTAGTCTGTCCACTCCCACGGCTGCTACTTATAGGAACAGCGCGACCAAGAGGCCCAGCACCACCCAGCGAAGGCCATGTCCCTCACTCCTTCGGAACATCTTCCCGTCAAACGGACCAAGGTCCTGAGCTCCCCAGCATGGAGCATGGCACCCCCAAGTCCCCAGTGCCCAAACTGGAGGCCTGGGAGGCTTCCCTGACCCCCCCCCCCATTCTGCCTCCCCAACTGGATCCATCAAGAAGCCTGTTCTTCTACTTCTCATTAAGCTTCTCCAGCTATCTAGTCCACCCCCTTCTCCCCATCCCCCGTTCGAGGATTGTTCTAGAATGCCAACCAGACCATGTACATCCCTCCTCTGTTTGGAAAACTTCGATGGCTCTGGTCCTTAGGAGGAAGTTCCTCTCCGGACCATGGCCCCCACCATCCCCTCACGCCCAGATTAAACTTCCTTTCCCGGGGGTGCCATGCTCTCCATCTCTTGCACCCAGCCCGGGCCATAGGCTCACCCCGTTGTCTGGGGCTCCCTTTCCCTCCTTTAGCCTGAACGTTGTCCTTCCTATTCCAACCCCGTGTGCGCTTTTTTCAGAAAGCTGTCGCGGACCTGCAGGCTGGGCCAGGTGCCTCCCCAGGGTCCCTCCTGTGCCTCCTCCATCTCAGCCCTGCTCACCCGGGTCACCAATGCCTAATTAGGCCTCCTTCTGGAGCTTCTCAGGGCCCCCCTGCTTTTACCACCCCCCTCCCAGACCTCTCTCTGTGCCCCCACGGAGCAGATTTCGGCGGGCGAGGCGAAGGCTGCACAGCAGGTGAGCAGTGGGAACATGAGCCTCCTCCCACTTAGTCTGTCCACTCCCACGGCTGCTCCTTATAGGAACAGTGCGACCAAGAGGCCCAGCTCCACCCAGCGAAGGCCATGTCCCTATCACTCCTTTTACTTATAGAAATTTTCCCAGTGCCCCCCCAGAGAGAGCAAGGAGGAGGGGACTCCAAGGGTTAGGGGCTGGCCCTGCCACTTAATCACCCATTCTGGAATCTAGGGCGCGTTTTGTGCCCTCTCCGAGCTTGTTGCCACATCTCATTAGAGAGAGGGCTTCCCATCTTCACTGCCAAGCACGGTGGCTGCGAAGGGTACAGGTCAGTGAGAAAGTTCTGCTAAGAGGCAGGTGCCCAGCTGCAGGCTGGGGATGCCGCCCGCCGCCTGGCCTCACGGGGCTCACCTCGTAGCCACGCGTCTTAGCTCGGCACCAGTCCAGCAACATCTGCTTGATGCTGTTGGCGTTGGGGACCCCAAAGCTGGTGGAGCGCTGTACCGCTGCACGGGGTCCGCCAGGGCTGCTGCAGGAGGGTGGGGGGTGGGGGAGAGGCAAGGGTAGTATAGGGAACTGGATCACAGGACTATAGGGGGACCGCTTCTGTCAGCCCCACCCACTGGGCCTCAGCTCTGCCTTTCTTGACCTCCAGGCCCCGCCCACCACCGTTTATGGCCAGCCCATCGCTGCCCACCCCCCACCCCTGTGATCACCCCTAGTCCCCGCCTTCTGCTGCTCACCCCGCAGCGCCCTCCTTTTCCAGCTTCTCAATCATGGCCTTGCGCGCCTGGGAGGCAGAGGTCTTGGGGAGGCTCTGCGCCTTCATCAGCTCTTTCTTCTTCTCCGCCTGGCGTTTCTCCAGCGCAGCCAGGGTGCTGGTTCGCGGGCTGGTCTCGTCCTCACGGTCGAAGATACTGGGGGATGGGGAGGCGACTATTAGGGTGCTCCCAAGCCTCAAACCCGACTTGCCAGGTCGCAGGCCACACCCTACACTGGAGGCCTCCTCATCACACCCATTTCACAGAGGAGTACACTGAGGTGCAAACGAACAGAAGAACAGAAAATGGGAGCCAAGTTCTTTACAACAGACTTGGCCCCCAGGGAGTTCTCTGAGAAGGCTGATTGTATTGTTAAGTTCCAGGTGAGTTCAGATTTTGGACACTATCAACTAATGATGATCGGCATAATAGTAATGGTAACAATAACAATAGTTCATGACGTCGGCCTGCAGACTGAAGGGTCCGGGGTTCTATTCCGGCAAGGGCACGTACCTAGGTTGCAGGCTCCCAGCCCTGGTTGGGGGCATGCGGGAGGCAACCAATCAATGTGTCTCTCTCACATCGGTGTTTCTCTCTCTCTCTCTCTCTCTCTCTCGCTCTCTCCCTTCCACTCTCTCTAAAAATCAATGGAAAAAATATCCTCAGATGAGGGTTAAAAAAGAATAATACCTCATGTCTATTGAGCCTGTCCTATGTGCCACTTAAATCTTTACAAGAGAAGAGAGGGACCCTTCTCATTCATACTAGTGATGAGGAAACGGAGGACCCAGTCCTCAGATGTCAGAGGGCCTGGCGGACAGCGCAGGAACTGGGGGGCCCAGGTCTCTCTGACTCAATCCCTGGACCCCTCTGGTTCCCAGCCTGAATCCTGATTCCTGTCCCTGCTTTCTATCAGCCCTGACATCTCTGTACCATAGATAGAGGGGTGTCTCCCTCCCTCACGGGTCTTCGGTATAGAGGTGCTCTGTGAAGTGGGATGTGGTCTGCCGACACTGGGAAGTGGCAGTGCCACCGGGCAGCTCAGTGTGGCAGATAGTTCAGTGCTATTGGTGCCACTCAGAGCTGTGTGACCCGGAGCACAAGTCTCTGGCCTCCCCTGTGGTGCAGATGAGGATTAGGTGAGACTACAAGGCAAGCAGAAGCGGTCTGATTCTTACTCTAGCCTTATTACCGCCCAGCACCTCAGTCTACCCCTCTGTAGAATGGGTGTGCAGTGAGGTCCCTGTGATGCTGACTTCTCTGGGGTCTGGGGGTGGGTACCTGCGCTCACCTGCCCATCTTCTTGGATGATGAGGAGGAAAAGGTCTTGGTTTGTACCACGGTGCTGCCACCACCATCTGCAAGAAAAGGGAACAAGAGCAGGGTGAGGCCCGGGTTGGACGTGAAGAGATGGGGTGGAGGTCTGGGGAGAAATGGCAGTAGCCACAGGCAGAGAAGAGAAAGTGACAACTGGACAGAGAAACACACAGACAGAAATACGAAGAGAGAGTTCGAGGAAGAGCCTGAGGAGGCGGGCGGGCAGGTAGGCACAGGGCGTCGCCAGGCGGCCTTACTCTCCGAGCGCCTCACGAAACTCGACTCCACCGTGGTGGTGCGGGCTGTCCGCGTGCCATCATCTGGAAGGGCAGGGAGAAGAGGAAGGATGTGAGAGGCACAGGGGCCAGGGAGGTGGGCGTGTCCCCGCCCTGAGCCCCGACTGGCTCCTTACTGGAGTGGACGAGCCGCTCGGTCTTGGTGACAGTGCTGACAGCTGAGCCGTCGGCTGCCCGATGGCTGTGCCGCGTGGTGGTCTCGGTGGCCACGTTGCCCCGGGCCTCCGTTGGCCTGGCCCGCGCCTCCTGCAGCCGCCGTTCCCGCTCCTTGTCCCTCTGGTCTGGGCGGGAGATGCCCCGGGCACGCCCAGAAGGGCCACCCATCACCCACACAGCACACACGCAGGGGCACACAGGGCACATAAAATGGGGTGGAGGGCAACTTGTTAGAAATACTGAAGACACGGGGTAAAGGAGTGGCTAGGGGTGAGGGAGTAGCCATAATTTGGCAGGGAGTGGAGGGCGTGTGGGATGGGGGTGATGGGCTCAAGAAGAAACAAGGGAATATGGAAGAGCTGAACTCACAGGAGGAGTATTTGGATCCAAAAATGGGAGTTCCTAGGGGACTCAGTAGCTGAGTCTGGAGGGAGTATCTAGATCTAGGGAGGAGCAGAGTCCAGGGAAGGGGAAACTGGGTGAGGGCCGTAGCTGAGTGGGCCTTCAAATGGGTCTTAACCGGGAGGAGAGGGCTAGAGGAAGACATATTTAGATCCAGGGAGGGAGAAATTGGAGGTGCCTGAGAAGCGATTTGATCCAGGGTAACAGTGGTTGGGAGAGAAGGTGGCAAAGGGGGTAACTAGGCCCAAAGAAGAAGTCGGTGGGTGGAGACAGAGGCTGAGTGGCCATCAGTGGGCCGTGGAGGAAGCAGCTAGACTCAGAGAGGGAGTCATTGAATGTCTGGAGAAGCAAATGGATCTAGAATCCGAGGGAAACAATAGCTAGGTTCGTGGAGGAAGTAGTAGCTTTGCCCAGAGAAGGGGAAGCTGGGTAGGAGTAGAGACTAAGGTGGCCATCAATGGACCTCAAGGAGAAAGGAGCAGCTGGGAGAAGGAGTATCTGGATTCAGGGAAGGTGTGGTTGACAGGACTGAGAGAAGCAACTGGATCTAAGGAGGTGTAGCTGGGAGAGAGAGTAATGTGGTCTAGGAAGGAGAAGAGAAACTGTTTGGGGACAGTAACTGGAGAGACGGGGAGGGGGAGACAAGCAGCTAGGGAGGGGAGCAGCTGGGGAAAGGAGGCCAAGGAACAGCTGGGTGTACAGAAGAAGCTGAGTAGGGCGGTTACTGAGCTGGTGTGTCCATGAATGGACTCCAGGGTGAGGGAGGATGTGAGAGGCACAGGGGCCAGGGAGGTGGGCGTGTCCCCGCCCTGAGCCCCGACTGGCTCCTTACTGGAGTGGACGAGCCGCTCGGTCTTGGTGACAGTGCTGACAGCTGAGCCGTCGGCTGCCCGATGGCTGTGCCGCGTGGTGGTCTCGGTGGCCACGTTGCCCCGGGCCTCCGTTGGCCTGGCCCGCGCCTCCTGCAGCCGCCGTTCCCGCTCCTTGTCCCTCTGGTCTGGGCGGGAGATGCCCCGGGCACGCCCAGAAGGGCCACCCATCACCCACACAGCACACACGCAGGGGCACACAGGGCACATAAAATGGGGTGGAGGGCAACTTGTTAGAAATACTGAAGACACGGGGTAAAGGAGTGGCTAGGGGTGAGGGAGTAGCCATAATTTGGCAGGGAGTGGAGGGCGTGTGGGATGGGGGTGATGGGCTCAAGAAGAAACAAGGGAATATGGAAGAGCTGAACTCACAGGAGGAGTATTTGGATCCAAAAATGGGAGTTCCTAGGGGACTCAGTAGCTGAGTCTGGAGGGAGTATCTAGATCTAGGGAGGAGCAGAGTCCAGGGAATGAGAAACTGGGTGAGGGCCGTAGCTGAGTGGGCCTTCAAATGGGTCTTAACCGGGAGGAGAGGGCTAGAGGAAGACATATTTAGATCCAGGGAGGGAGAAATTGGAGGTGCCTGAGAAGCGATTTGATCCAGGGTAACAGTGGTTGGGAGAGAAGGTGGCAAAGGGGGTAACTAGGCCCAAAGAAGAAGTCGGTGGGTGGAGACAGAGGCTGAGTGGCCATCAGTGGGCCGTGGAGGAAGCAGCTAGACTCAGAGAGGGAGTCACTGAGAGTGTCTGGAGAAGCAAATGGATCTAGAATCCGAGGGAAACAATAGCTAGGTTCGTGGAGGAAGTAGTAGCTTTGCCCAGAGAAGGGGAAGCTGGGTGGGAGTAGAAACTAAGGTGGCCATCAGTGGACCGCAAGGAGAAAGGAGCAGCTGGGAGAAGGAGTATCTGGATTCAGGGAAGGAGTGGTTGACAGGACTGAGAGAAGCAATTGGATCTAAGGAGGTGTAGCTGGGAGAGAGAGTAACGTGGTCTAGGAAGGAGAAGAGAAACTGGTTGGGGACAGTAACTGGAGAGACGGGGAGGGGGAAACAAGCAGCTAGGGAAGGGAGCAGCTGGGGAAAGGAGGCCAAGGAACAGCTGGGTGTACAGAAGAAGCTGAGTAGGGCGGTTACTGAGCTGGTGTGTCCATGAATGGACTCCAGGGTGAGGGAGCAGCTGGGGAAGGGAGCAGCTGGATCTGGTGGGGCAGCTGGCTATCTACCTCTCTTCTTTTGTCGGAGCTCACGTAGCGCCGCCCGAATGAGCTTCCGCTCCTGGAAGTCCGTCGTCTGATCCAGCTGCAGATAGAGCCCTGGTCATTGCCCACCTGGTGCCTGCTGGTCCCTGGCTGTCCCCGTCCCCCCCCCCCATCCCACCGGATCTGGCTGTACCATCTTGTCCAGGATGTCCTCATCCTCAATGGCCATCAGCTCCTCGCTGCTCAGTGGGCTCCGCCTCTCTGGTGTTTTGTCCACCTGGGTCTGCTCAGTGCCATTGGCCACTTCCACTGCAGCAGAGGGGGGCTCTGCTGGCTTTGGTTCCATCTGGGGAGGGGGGAGAGGGCATGGACGTTAAGCAGGGGACTGACTGAAACCAACATGGCCCCCATGGACATGGCGCCAGGCCCTGCGGCTGCTGGCACAACACTGGAAATAGCCACTAGCCAGCCAGACTGCCCGCCCGAGGTTGGCCATGTTGGTGTCAGGCTCAGGGAAGAGGCACTGAGAGCCTTGTTGTAGGATTTGGGCCCCCTACTGGGGATGGGGCCCGCAAACTGTGCATGTGCCCTTGACCTGAATCAAAACCAGGACCCTTCAGTCTGCAGACCGACAAAGCTCTATCCACTGAGCCAAACCAGCGAGGGCTACTGTCCCTATTTAACAGAAGGGAAAACTGAGGCTCAAGGCAGCTGAATGACTTGTCTATGAGCGCAATGCAGCATGGGACCTGAGCTAAAGCTAGCCTAATGCTTGAACCTGAGTTCTTTCTACTGGTTCATTGCCAGCCCTAGGCAGGCTGTGCTCTGTCCTGCCAGTTTCCAAGGCCTGGGAACTCCTGGGCCAGTGCCCAGGCAGCACATTCCATCCCCGGCACTTACCCCC